AGTGTTGCTGTCAGCACTGCCCGTAGCGATGAGGAATGCGTGGCATCAAAGCATGAGGGATGCGAGTGGGGAAGGATAAATAACCATCTTGGTACAAAATACAGTCGGAGCACCACTCGACCATTGGATACGACCCTAGAAGAGAACACAGGGATCCAGACGGTTGCCTAAATAAAAACACGACAAAACTAAAACCTAAACACAACAAAGGCACATAAATAGCACTTGGTCAGTGAGGAGCGGCCCTCTCACAAGAAGGCGATAAATCCATGTAAGGAAGGTTAGACGATCCTCATTTTATTGTTATGAACCGGTCCCATGCGCCAGAAGTGAGTTGCGTCTAGTCTAGTGCAGGAGTCAGTTGTTGGAGTTCCATGTCCCAACCATGCACGGGACACCTGCGTCAATTAGCTTATGTTGAATTTTTTTCATCATCAACTCGCCAAATTATGTTAATTTTGGTTTTGTAAATTCAGTACTTTAAAAATTGTAAATGTTATACAATCCACCTATCTAGGAGCATTATATAATTCTATGAAAAGTATTTGTTAAAATTGCCTTGATTCATAGTTAAATTGATTTTATTTTATTGCATGCTTTATCATTTTGTTAGTTTACGTCACTGTGATATCTGAGATCTAATAAATATTGTGGTGCAAGCTTGAGTTATTTTATTAATTTCAATGTACGATATCTCAATGCTTAGAGTTTCTTATCAATATCTAACTTGTGAACTTTAACCAATGCGACAAACATGCAACAATTTGCAAGACAGTAGTTATTAATAAACTTTTAATTATTTTTTATGATAAATAGAAATTGATTGAAATCTATGAAACACTCATAATTTTCGCTAGGTAGGACCTACATCCATTAAGAAATTAGCCCTCTTTTTTCTTTCGTTGCCATCTCATTTATTCACGAGATTCTTACATTCTATTCATCAATCTGGTTATTACTATAATTATTCTGTAATTGTTATTCTGCTTACTCATCAATTTATGGATCTTCTAATTATTTTGTAATTATCATGTTTTGATATTTTATTTTTATATAGAAACACTTCTAAAAAATTGTATAAAATTTTTGCAAATAATGGAATAAAGTTTAACACCAATTCTCTCTAATTCTTTCCATGATATCATAGACCCAGGCATTTTCTCTTGTATTCTTATTGTAGCAACTTCCATCATTGCATTATCATATTTCCATAGCCTTCTTTACTTTCCGTACTTTCTTTTTATCAATTTTTTATTCCTTTAGCTTTCATGGCTTCATTGTCATTGAAGTTTTCGACTTTTTTGTCTTCATTACTGCATTTTCATAAATCTATTCCATTGTTGCAGCTGTCATCACTATATTGCTCCATTAATTTTTTCCTTTTTCTTTTGTTCTATTTGACATAACCACGGTTTCTTTCTCTATAAACAACAAGAGTAATGTTCGCATAGTCTTGGTCTAAGGTATTCATGAAGTTGGGGATCAACCTAAGGGCCCGTTTAGGGGAGCATATTTAGTGCGGTGGCGTTTTGAAAAAAACATCTGGCTTGTTTGGGTAATCTGCGTTTTGGCAGCTTGTGCTTTTTTAAAATGCTAAATATAGCGTTTTCACGCCGCACCTATCTAGGTGCGGAGGGAGCTTTCTGGCTGCGGCCTAGCTTTTCCAAAAAAAATAAAAATTTGTAATAGTCGCCGTACCTAGCTTCTCAACAGATCTAGCTTATCAACAGATTATTTTTAATCAATTTTTCGGTAGATTATTCAATAAGCTACAGCCGACCCAAACAGACCCTAAATCTAATGGGAGAGTTGCAAAATGTTCATTCAATGTATCAGTTGAATGAAAGGAATTATCTGAAGTAGTCATGATTGGCTTGCAAGTTCTTAAAAATAAATGAAAATTGGGCTATTTATAAGTTATAAAAAGCTAATTTTGCTAAGAGAACCTAAATAAGTATCCATTTATGTACTTTTACTCTAATATATTCAGTCATTATCTCCTCTTCTCATGCTTTTGAGGTCTAATAAATGCTCATTTCTAGCTCTTGAATGATTAAGAGTCTGTTTGGGGCAGCTGCAGCTTATCCAGCTTATCCTGATAAACTGCTTGTCCTTATAATCTGGTGATAAACAGCTGATCCGGATAATCTGTTTGTCTATTTGGTTTGTACGTTTTGAGAACAACTGATTCTGAATAAATAACTAAACTGCCCATGTTCTGAATAAGCTGCAGCTATTTGGTTTGTGCGTTTTGTAGACAACTTATTTGAAATTTTTTTTACAAATTCTTAATAACATTCTTAATGCAATCATGAAGGGGAGAATGGGAAGATTGAAGAATATGAAAATATTTCACTAAAATATTTCAGATTAAATCAAAAATGCACAATTACCTAAACATATGTGAAATACACCGTAACCCACTAGTATGTACTATAATGAGACCCAACAAAGAAGAAAAATAACATGTCAAAATTACAAGGAAAAAAATAATGATATTGACTTTAACATGTAGCAGCATATCACGGTCCATTGTGCCCAGCTCTGACACTCTAGAAACCATAATGAACTTGTCCTAGTGGGATACCGTAGAAATGGAAGCACTCAAATCAGAAGCGGTGTTCTTAAATTTTGACACCGACAAACTCTAAGCAGCGGTGTCAAGTCGAGCTGTCATAGAAACGGACGTAGTTTCGGCCCACCTAAAGAAAGTGCAGTCCTGTTGTCCTTGTGCCCACCGCGGGCACCTTAAAATTATCTCCCGTAGCTATGTGACCGACGTGATGTGAGTAGACAATAATTCTCTTCTTTGTTCTTAGCCATAATGAGACTATTAAGAAAATGATTCAATTCTTCAGGAATGCTTAAAAATATTTAAAAATATTAGGCAATAAAAATATTAGGCAATACTGAGCCACAATGTATAAAGTAGAAAGACAATTTTAAAACCGGTAACATAACATTAGTGAGCATTACCTAAGAAAACCGAATTGCCAAAAAATCTATCTCAAATATGGTAGCTATAAGAATAACTTTTTTAGCTTAAATTTTAAGCTAAATGTGATATCAAACAACATTGAGAAATATTACTCATCAGTCTCGGATCCATAAATGATGCTACATGTGTTATTAAGAAACAAATTGCTAAATGTCCAACCCTTTCTAACGCTTCCATGGGAAAATGTCATCTAATGAGTTTATTCTCATTTCATAAACGGTCATAACAAAGAAATAGCAGAAAGAGGGGAAGAATAAAAATGTATTCGGGCTTTACATAATAACTTTCAAATTTCTTCAAATTTCTGCATAATAAACTGCATAATAACCGCACAGTAAAGCCAATAAGCCCCAAAACATTGGTTCATCGTATGTAACATCTGCACTGTAAATCTCAAAAGCATATGTAACAACTGCACTGTAAATCCCAAAATTATTTGCTCATCGTATGTAACAACCATACTGTTAAATCCCAAAACATTTAGCACATGTAACAACCACACTGTAAATCCCAACAGCCCCAAAACATTGTTTCATCGTTTTAACAGAAAGGTAAGATCAAATGCATGGATATACCATCCAAACACGGGTAGGATGTTACTAGCAGAAATCTCAAAAACCTTTAATCAAAGTACCCAAAACCAGACCCACCTCTCTCATGACAAGTCCTTCCCCTGGACATCTTCTTCCCATCCGAACGGAATCATCTCCCCCCCCTCTTTACTTTACTTTTTTCAAGAAATCTTTCAGGAAGAAATAATAATCGAAAAACTTCAACGATGAGGCATCACAAAAAAATCCAAATGTTAGTTACGGCCCACCATAGATAACCGAATTCATGCATACAAAACTCTTGATTCTTACGGTAACCAAAGACAACAACTTACAGAACAATCGAATCGAGTGGGAGAAGAGGGAAGAAAGTGTTAGATCTCCTGTTCTCAGAGCAAGGAATGTTAGGGCACGAAATGGGGAAAGCGAGTGAGGAACGTTAGGGCACTAACTACGGAAAGCGGAGGAGGCGGAGGGGCAAGTAATGTAAAAACACTTTGAAACGCTTGATCGCGGTACATTAGGTGCGGGCCGCGGTACTGTAGAAAGGAGATTGTGCATTTTACGGGGGGCACCCGAAACGCTGAAACCAAACTGAATGGTTGCGTTTCAAAACGCACAATCAGCAAATAATCCCCCCCCAAACATTTTCAAAACGCACAATCAGCAAGTAATCCCCCCCAAACGGACCCTAAGTCAGGAGCCACATATCATATGATTAGCTTCTTTCATAAATTTATTTTAATGTACCACTCATTTCTAGCTCTTGAATCAATTTGTCATTGAATCCCTGGAAGAAACCATTGAGCCTTCAAATAATGGTACAAGAACATCCTTCAAACATCCATTTTATTTTATTTTTTTTATAATAAAAATATCTTTTTTATATATGTCTGTTCTTTCTTCCTAGCCTGAATGCCATTTCTACTTTTAATTTAAAATCGTCTTCGAGGCTTTAAATAATGTAAATTGTAATAATACTTGGAGTGAAGAAATATACTCCCTTCAAAAAAGAAAGACTCGGGAGTTAATAAAGTTTTCAAATGAAAATAACCTACGTGATATTGATGGGCCTCTATCTCTACTTTAAAATGAAACCTGATGGTTAATTAGAAAGGTATAAAGTCGCACTAGTGGCTAAAGGCTATACTCAAATACATGTGATTGATTATCTTGTAATCCAAATTGCCCAAAAGAACTTTGTCAGAGTTTTCTTTTTTCTAGCTGCTAATAGGAACAAGAAGATATGACAATTTGATTTAAGGCATGACTTCTTACTCGATGTTTTGGAGGAAGCGGTACGTATGAATGCCTTATTCGGATTTAGATTAAAATTAGAATATAAATTCTAGAAAAAAGACATTGTATATGAGAAGTTGCTTGTCTTTATGTCTATGTGATTTTTATTAGTATTATTATTATTCTTTTTATTAAAATTTCAGTTATTACAGGTTTCATGAATTTTTGAAACAAGAGAATGAGGTTGGCGCAATTACGAGGCAAGAGGCTGTTAGTATGGTATGAAAATTCTTATTATTCTTCTTTTTAGATTTTTATTTGGAAATTGGTTTGTTCTTTTTTTATTCTATTTTATGTTTCATAGTGTTTCATATTTTTCGAATTGCTCCCTGTACCTTACTAATTTTTTAAAGCAGAAAGTATTGAGTTTAGTCTCTTGATGCTGTAGGTACCACCTCTGTTCCTGGATGTACTCCCCGATCACTATATACTTGACAGTAAGCCAGTTGTTAAAATAACTTAGTCTACAGTTATCTAGGAAACTTGTTTCAATTTTTCTTTAGATTTATTTCTTTGTTCAACATGAGTCGTCTGGAGTCGATGCGATATGAATTTGTTCTTTGAATTAGCATCATCCGTAAATCATGACCTTCATTTTTCTTGGGTGGAGCCAGTAACGAAGCAGATTTTTTTAGTTTTCATTTGCTATCAAAACTATGTTTTACAGTTTTTATTTTATTTTTCATACAACTATTTCTTTGAAATCTTTTTTATGCAAATTACTACAATACTACTGCTTCGTAAACACTAAGGTGCTACTGAACTCTTTATATCTGATTATTCCATGATAAGTCTAAATTTTTAAGGTTTATGATGGGAAAAACAATTAAGGAGTTTGATTGATGTTTAGTATGTTTATTTTTTTTATATATATAAAAGCTTCATTACGTCTCATTATGCATTTTGTTGTAACAAATGTCTTCTTGCTTTGTGTAGTGTGTGCAGCACCAGGATCAAAAACATTTCAGTTGCTTGAAATAATACACCAGTCAATTAATCCTGGTTCACTCCCTCATGGACTTGTGAGTTATTTATTAATAATTTAGCCCTCTTTTTATCTATCTTATATTTTAGACACATAGCACACAATTTTAATGTATGTACATATCTCACACCTAAACATTCATATTTACACACATGCCACTCAAATCATTGATATCACATAAAAAAAAGCACTATTACCACTTTTTAAAAGTTCAATACACCTTTTCATGCACAGTTTTAAAAGACCAAAGTGCTAATATGTAAATATGAATGTTTAGGTGTGAGATATGTAAATAGATAAGAATTGTGTGCTAGGCATGTAAATATCCCTATTTTTTGATTGATTTATCTGCATCAATTACCTGTTCTGTTTAATGCTGCAGGTTATTGCTAATGATGTTGATGTTCAACGATGCAACCTTCTTATCCATCAGACTAAAAGGATGTGCAGTGCTAACTTAATTGTTACGAATCATGAAGCTCAATATTTTCCCAGTTTGCTGCAGGGGGAATTAGAGAGAGATATTTTGCAATTTGATCGTGTTTTATGTGATGTTCCATGTAGCGGTGATGGCACGCTTCGTAAGGCCCCTGATATCTGGAGAAAATGGTGAGATTTGCTTCGCAGTTGAGTTCTCTCTTTCTTTTGCCTTATAAGAGGCTTGAATTTTGTTCAGGAATTCAGGAATGGGTAATGGACTTCACCGCCTACAAGTGGAAATTGCGATGCGTGGTAATATGGCTTTTATATCTATAGTCCAGTGCTACTTTAAATATAAAATTCTTGGAAGATTTACATGCATACCACTCAATTCCTATGTATTTACATATCTGACACCTAAACTTCCATTTTTAGATATATGCCACCTTACCTAAGCATGAAAAGGCGTATTTCACTTTTTAGAAGTTAAAATGGTGGTATTTTTTATGCCATATGAAAAGATTTGGTGCTATAATTGCAAAAGTAAAGTTTTGGTGCTAGATTTGTAAATACCGAAGAGTTGGGTGGTATTTATGTAAATGCCCCAAAATTATTTAGTTGCATGCTTTTGTTTGTGCATTTTTTATTTCATTGCAGAGTTCTTTGGTTTAAATTTTTTTAACTTGGTTCCTTGTATTAGTTTGTGACTTCACATTTATCTCTTTGATGATTTGTTCATTTTATTAGCGGAAGTTTTCAATTTTCTGAAGAGATAGAAGAAATATTTAGTAATCTTATTTTTTTCGTTTGTTTTTGTGATTGTTATCTTTTGAAGTTGCTGTATTTGGATGGTTATATACTTTTTTGGGAAGGTTTTTATGAATAGTAATTTAAGAGAGGCTCTAATCATTCTGCTTTCTTTTTGATGTGTCATTATTCCTTGATAAAATGCTCATAAGGTGCTGATAAAATCGAGCTTCTTAGTTTGAAACTTTTTATGTTGCCATGGCATGTAATAGTTAACCTCCGTCTTTTACATTTATAGTCTAGGTCTTGGAAAGGTGCTGGTTCACTTTTCATGTGACATTTGTCATTTTAAAAGTAATTAATTTTTTCACCTTGCTCAAGTTTTGCAATTTCAAGATAGCTTCTGTGGAAATGATGCGATGAGAAAGATTTAGATTTCATTAGAGATGCTATTATGTAAGTAGAACTCTGGCTTGTATTATATTTTTAATGGCAGGTGTTGCGCTGCTCAAAGTGGGAGGAAGAATGGTTTACTCCACCTGCTCAATGAATCCAGTTGAAAATGAGGCTGTTGTATCTGAGGTTATTTCTGAGAAAATTAGCATTAATTTAATTTAATTTTAATCACTTATGTATTCTTGCATCCATTATGCAGAATTAAATAGCAAAAACGTTTATTGAGCTGAACTTGGGCTGCATGCCAACTTCAAGCATTTACCACACCCCTATTTATATTACATTTTTTTTTAACTATAAATCTTTAATTGCATCTCCATATTTTTCTAACAAATTCACAATTTGAGAAGCTCATTTTGCACCTCATGATGCCAACTCATTGAATGCATGCAATTTCTTAGAGTTGAAATTGATTTATGTAATTTTATCCAATCCCCTTTGCGCTCTCCTTGGTGGAACCATGTTTAATCTCTAATTTTGCATATTATTTGGAGACTATATAGTTAAGCGCTTAAAGTACTCCATTGTTTGAAATTCATAGTCTTATCAATGACTACTGTATATTCTTATGAAGAAGTCATTGATACATTTGAGTCTCTTTGTAATACTGCTTGTAAGTCCCAACTTCCTTGGGGCTTGTTTTGAATCAATTTTGGTTTTTGTTTTTGTTTTTCAAAATATGTTTGTTTAGTGTGTTTTTTATATGCATTTATTTAGTATGTTTTTTATATGCATTATTTTTTGTTTTTAAAAATAAATTAATATGTTTTTGAAAACAGTCAAAAACACTTTTGGGTGTTTTGAGTGTTTTTAAAAACAACCATACTTTAATCAAATACTCAAATATATTTTGTCTCAAATGCAAATATAAACAAAACAAGATAAAAAATAAAAAAAATTAAAAATAAAAACAGAAGTAATCTCAAACGGCCCCATAGCTTTAAAGATAGTATACACTGAAATAATTTTTGTAATTTCTATTTTGAATAATTAATAGCTAATTGTTCAACATGTTATAGTTCTACCTATTTGCAGTTGTTTGCAGCTTATTTATGTGTTGCCAATCATCATTACAAGTTTTATGATTCTCATTCATATGCTTTGAATATTCTCTGTTTAAATTCTTGGTAAGAGAAATTTATATCATCCTTTTCTTTTAAAAAAGTTTATATTTCATGTAACCAGATTATTCGAAGAAGTAAAGGATCAGTTGAGCTTCTTGATGTTTCCCATGAGTTACCAGGATTGGTTCGTCGACCTGGTCTTAAAACATGGAAGGTTATCTTCTCTCTGATTAAGTTCTGTCACAATTCCTTCATCCAACCATTTAATAAGAATTTTTTTTTAATCGTTACATATCTCTGGAGTTTTATTTATGATTTCCCAGAACATCCCTTTGAAATCATAGATTTATTCTCTGTTTTTTTTTTATATAATTAAATGCTCAAGTTGATATATAGTTATACTTAGTGTTTGGTGCTAATAATGCTGACCATGATTGTATTATTGGAAATCTGACACCAAATATCTATATTTTTATTAGAAATTCTGTCCGCACACCATTTTTTTTGTTGAATGGTGAAGCAGAAAATGAATGAAAACAAGCTTTCTTATTTTTCCTGCCAATTTCTTGATGAAAGATGTGGGCTGTGCCCAAAATTGTAGGAAGAAAAGAGATACTTCTCTAGCAAGTAACAATGGTAAAATAGCTATTTTTATGTACATAAAGCAAAATTGTTTAAAAAAAAAGCTTATGGCCAAACAAAAGTGGCAGCGATTTATAAAGTTGTGAAAAAACGGCCCCAAACAAGCCTTAGTCAAAATTTTGATTTTTGAGAAAGCTATCAATTTTTGAGATTTTTTTGATGGTAGGACCAGTGAGTTGTGTAAAACTATTATGACTGTTCAATAAAATTTTAGCTTCCTTTCAAATTCGTGTATGTTAGTTGTATGAGAATTTTTTGGTCATGGTGCAAGTCTTGGCGACAATTTTTGAAGGAAGCTTTTTTCTTATATCGATGTCTTAGCTTGAGTTCTTGGTTGACACTTAAATGATTTCTATCTTCTAACACTCTTTTAGTAGTATTGATTTGCATCTGTTATTGGACTTTGATCAGGTTTCAAACTATCTTTCTTTTCATGGCATGAATCATGATTGTTGAATGTCCTTCATTTCATATATATATATATATTTTCCAATTATTGTGTGGAGCAAGTTGTATTTTTTTTATGTGTTGCATCAAATGAGTTAAAACTTGACCAAAACCAATTTAGTGAATTGTGAATTTCGATTTTTTATGCATGCCATCTAAACTTTGTATTAGCATACAATAGAACCCCGAGACATTTGTGTCATTATTGGTGCACCTTGCGCCACAAGTTGTGCATATATAAACTTCTATGTCAAGTCTTTTTGCTATACCTGTCTTATTTCATCAGTCGTCAG